GCAACAGCAGAGGATGGAACAGGGGCTAAAATCTGATTGGAGATGCCTAGAGATAAAAACCCAAGAGAACCAAGGTTGCAATCTCTTTCTGCCTGGGATTTTCTATCACAAGCTCTTCTTATATATATATATATTTTTACATGGGACCTTCTCTTAAAGAACACACAACACACCTAAGTGGGTTTTGTGACTTGGGATGAATGGTTCCCCTACCACAACACATAATCGTCCTGTGAGGAATGGGTCAGGTCAGATGACAAGGCACACATGAGGTGACTGATCATTAATCCTGAATCCATATCATTTACAGGCGGTTAACAATGCTTGGATTTAGGTTTAGTATTCCTTGAGTAAATTAAGCTCAAATGGGAAAACATGAAGTTTCTGAACTGCTTTCCAATCTCCTGAGCTAAACAAAAGACTGCATCAGATGGTGACACAACAAATTGATAGAAGTTCAAACTCTAATGTAATTTATTGTTCACTCAGTGGGGCAAGGTCTGACTTAGTCTTTGACCTAAACAAGGTTCTTATCTAAGACCCTGACCTTATATTTCTATTTTATATTTCTGAGGTTTATTTTTTAAGGTGATTGGATACTTTGATCCACTGAACTAACAAAAACTAATCTTACATTTCCATCCCTGGAAAGAAGGATTGGACTCTATTTTGAAAGCCAGTCTAAATTTTTCTCATATGAAGACACTTGTAATTTTTTTCATATGAGGCACTTATTCTTCAGCCATTGATAAGAATCTAAAGACCTAGTCTATTGCATTTTAGTTATTATGTGGAATTATTTTGTATTAAGGTTGAAAATTCTTTTTAGAGAAAATTCAATACTATAATTATGTATTCTCTTACCATGTACAATTTACACTGGCATTTTTCAGCTTCTGAGACTAGTAAAAAATTCATTTTTTAAACACAATTTTATTTATTTTTTTAAAGATTTTATTTATTTATTAGAGAGAGAGAGAGAATGAGAGATAGAAAGGAGGAGAGGGAAGAGAGTCAGAGGGAGAAGTAGACTTCCTGCTGAGCAGGGAGCCCGATGTGGGACTCGATCCCGGGACTCCAGGATCATGATCTGAGCCGAAGGCAGTCGCTTACCCGACTGAGCCACCCAGGTGCCCCGAAACACAATTTTAAAAATTCTCCATTATATGAGTAATATGACATTTATTTTTTTTCTTTAGTTTTTTATTTAAGTAAACTCCACACCACATGTGGGGCTTGAACTCACAACCCTAAGATTAAGAGTCACATGCTCTACTGACTGAGCCCACCAGGTGCCCGGACATTTACAGTTTAAAAGCAAATCATCATCTGTAAAACTGATGAATTAATAAGAGTAATATATCACAAGGTATTTGAGAAATTGTACTTTAGCTTCATATATTTTCTTATCTCCATGTATGTTGAAAACAACCACAAGACAACTGCTATTAAACATACTTATTACCATTTCAGGTTTTCATACACACTTTAATATGTACGTATTAAAATATTACAGGAACTACTATCACCTGATGGTGGTAGAGACTGCTTACTTGAAAATATTAACTTCATACATATCAAAACGCATCATCCTCAAATGAACTGCAAAATGCCTGAAGTATGTTAAAGAGATAAAGACGGAGTTTTCATACTTTACAGCCTTATAAAGAGTTGCTAGCCAGCACAAAGATAACGGATTTATTTTACAATGAAAATGTGTTTTGAGAGTTTGGAAGGCTAGTACGCTATGTAGGGCACTTTCCAAAAGACTGAAGAGATGCTTTGGGTAAAAAGTAAGAAATGTATAAAACACAACTATCAGAAAGATTTTTTAAAAAAAGAGTATTAGACAATCATCCTTTAAAAAAAAGACTTTTAATATCAACTTCTTCTACCCAACCAAACTGACATGACTCAGGTATTTTTAAATATTTTAGAAACACTTCCTCAAAAATTTCCAAGACAGTAGCTTTCAGATGTTCCCTCAATACCTGGGTTGCTCAGATGAAGTAAATCTTATGAGAACTCACCACCAACCACAAGCGTTTTCACACATATGTTTACTCTTCTTACCACCTTGAGTTTAGAAGTAGGCAGTCCTCCACAAATGTTCACTGAACTCAGCTACTGAAATTGTAACAGCTAAAATATCAACATATCAATAACTCAACAGGCCTTTGGAAGGCTGTGGGAAATCAAAACACTGTCAGTTTATACAAGTATTCATAAACACATGAAAATGTTCTAGTTTATCCTAAATGCCTCAGCCCTTTTGAATGCTATACAAAGAAGTAATTAAAAGGATAAACTTCCTGAGTAGTTCCATAAAATATGAATAATATTTAAAAATGAAAAGCAGTCTGAAAAGAGGCAAGCTAAACATTAGCTATACTGTCTTATTATACGGCATAGAGTAATTTAGTAATTAATAGTCCCACATAACTGTTTTATTCAGGTTCTGTTGTCAGGCCTGCTTTTAAAATTAAGTCACTAAGGAGAAAACGTTTTCAGTTTGTAGTTATATTTAAATCATCAACTGGACTTCTACCTTTTAAAGTCTATTAATTTAACAAAGATAGCCAAAAGTTGATATTTGAGGAAAAGATTTTCGGTGCAGGGTATGAACAATGAAAGATCATTAAAAAGGCGTGTAACGAAAGCATTTTCCATAAAAACAAAGACACCTCAAGCAGGTCCACTTATACCTCTAGTTTAGGTGAGAAACGAGGTCAATCTTAAAAAAAAAACCATATAATTTTAAACTTTGCACTAAGTCAGTTTGGCCTTTTTTCTCCCCAGGAAATCAGGTTTTAGTGTACCTGAAGGAAATTAACTATATTGAAAAGATACTGGCTTCCAACAATATACAGGCATATTGATATATGGTATCAATATATTGACATATAATCTAGTAGAGGAGTAACAACGGCCACTGATGCTAAGTGATAATTAAGTGTCATTACTCAAACTATTTCTAGGAGAAAAGCTTGGTTGCCCCTTTCCTTAAACGAGGATACAATTTTCTTCAAAAACAAGATACAAAATTATAAATTCTGAAAGGTCCTATTTGTTAACCTCCTAAAAATAAGCAGTCACCTTTTAAGTATAAAGAGCTAAATATAACCCTTCCTTGTCTAAAAGTCACACTGTTCACCTGTAATCTAGTGCTTCCTTTATCTTCCAGAATCTCTGGAGATTTAACGTATCCTGAGAGGACCAACCAACAATGGTAATTTAAGCCAAGTAGAAACGTTTATGAAAATTCAGCACTGTTACCGAGGAAACATGCCGCTGAAGTATGGGAGTATGAAAAGAGCTTAGTTCCAAAAGGAAAATCTATCATTACAAAGGCAGCAGTCTCTTACGTTCACATGGCATCATGCGGATTAGTGATCATTGGTTCCTCTGAAATGAGATTTTTGACTCCAGCACTTATATATGTGTTTATTTATACTTTATAGTGTAATGTGGCTCAATTAACTCACCGGTATATAAAAAATAAAAAGGGATGAAAAATCTGAATTGTATTAAATACATTTAAAGCAAAATAATGCGAAGTGTTAAGGTAAGCTCTAGTACTAAAAAAAATGTACCTCTACATAGACTCTAGAGCATCAGTTCTCAACCTCTTTTCTAACATGATAAATCCATGCCATACTCCAATGAATAAACCCGTAGTCTGACCTAGTCTTTCAAAAACTGGAAGGGAAATAAAGTATCACAGAAACCGAGACGGGACATAAACCTTAGGGGCGGATTCGGATTGTTCCGCATGCTGGGTTATGGCGGAGGGTGCTGGTGCAGATGACACCTGCCCACCAGTTCCAGCTCCACACCTCATTCTCTCACGCAAGAATACTTACCAGCGCCCAAGTGAGTCAGTAACAATGGAATGGTAACCTGAAATTTTCTCTAATTTGTCTTTAAAAAGTAAATCAATCGCAAACAAAACACACATGCTTTGTATGAATAACGATGAGTTTGTGACACTTCACAAAAAAACAGGAAAGTATTACTGTGTGTCAGTTACCTGTTAACAATCACTGTTCTATAGAATGTTACTGAGGTTTTAGAAAATAGAACCGTGTTCCCTAGAGCGTGGGACTTCTATAAGGAATTTAAAACCTGCAGTTGAGACATTTATTAAGTTGATAATGAGGAAACTAATTCCGTTTATAGAAACTGGCGATCTCGGACATACTCCAATTCTCCGCCAGAAGCCTCTGCTGATCCCTCCCCGGTTTGTAAAATATATACCAACCATGGCTCTTTGAGATTACAAATAATCAGACGAGGTGTGTCACCGAAGAGCCAGATCTCACGGCTGATGTGGAGAGTTGGAAGACTGGCTTGCATAGAGGACAGACTGAAGGCATCAGGAGAGCTGTAGCTCACAGTGAACTAAATGCTGATAGAAACAAACTGCTGAAGGTACCAGAACGCCAGACGAGGACAAACCGCCAATGCACTACAACGGTCAACACCAGGGCCCTGCCAGCTAAACCCCTTTCTCTGAGTTTTTAATTGGCTTGCAGGTTTATCCTAGGAGAAGATTATATGATTATATGATGTAAGTCAAAGAGGAACCAATTTTATTTTACTGTTATATAACAGAGACTGGCAAATTTTTTTTAAATAAAGGGCTGGACTGTAAATATTTTAAGTTTTGCTAGTCACATGACCTGATCTTGGTTTCTGATTTTTTTTTTATGACTCTTTAAAAACGTAAAGATTATTTTTCGCATGCTAGCCATGTAAAATCGGGTGCTTGCCGAATGAGGCCATAGCTTGTAGTCCCCCTTGATATAGAAGAAAAGCAATGCTCAACTACTAACTCTCCTCTTTTTTTCAACTTTAAATAATTTCAGATAGAATAGGAATTAGAGGTTCAAAGGACTGTAAGGATGAGGGATCTAACTTTCCAAATGGGGAGCTCAAGGCTCAGGGGCCCTGAGTGACCTGCTTGTAGCAGAGAGACCAAACACTTGTCTCTCTTTTACCTTCCATTTTCGGAATACACTCAAATCTGAGGACTCCCTTTAAAATGAAGTATACTAGAGCTTTACTATATTCACAGCTTAAAGTATTTGCTTTACCAGATACTTTTTTTCACATTCTTTTATCATGTTCAAGAAATTCACACTCAGAACCAAGAAAAACTTACAATACTTGTTAAAACTAGTATTGAGATAGCATGGGGTTTGAGGAGGCTTAAAATTCTGTCCCCTAAACTCAGTAAACTGGACAGGATGGCTTGTGAGGCGAAGCCTGAATAGGGCTGCTGGGTAGAGGTGACCAGTTATATGACATTAATATTCAAAACAAATAGACTTTGCTCCTTTCTCATTAAGTCCCTCTAGAACACACTGGGCTACCAAGCAAACAATTCACAGAAATGAGTCTAACCCATCTATATTTTTTCCTCTTACAGAAATATGGAATTAGGAATAGCACTTTAATGCCACTTCTCAGAGTTAATTAAAAAAAATTTTTTTTCTTATTCTTTGTACCGGAGTTTCTAGTTGTTTCCCACAGCATTTCCGATTAAAACCTGCTTTTATTATCAATGAAAAGATGCTCTAAACCAAAACAGATATAGTCAGATATTCAAAATGAACCTTCCCTAAATTTAGCACTTGAATTTTAAACTATTTCACCACCCTATATCAAAAAAGAAAAAAATCTTTCATGGGTCAATTCTCAATATAAAGTTTGAAATCCCTTGAATCTTTTAAAATACACTTATACAACAATTAAATTAATATTTAATTAATATTATTAGCCAATAATATTAATTAAAAATAATTAACATTTATAAAATATTATCACTGATAAACCATGTATCATCCAGGTTGTTTAAGAAATGCCATCACAGGGGCGCCTGGCTGGCTCAGTCGGTGGAGTGCGCGACTCTTGATCTTGCGGGGTTGAGTTCAAGCCCCATGTTGAGTGTAGAGATAACTTAAAAATAAAATCTTAAAAAAAAAAAGAAAGAAATGCCGTCACATATCAGCTCCTAAAAGATCACAACTGCATCAAACATCAATTTGTGAAAATTTTCATTTTGTTTATTAATTTTTTTAAAGTAAACTCTACACCCAACGTGGGGTTCAAACTCATGACCCCAAGATCAAGAGTCATGTGCTCTACTGAATGAGCCAGCCAGATGCCCCTGAAAATTTTCATTTTAGATATGAGGTCATGTGTTTTTGCCACATCATGTCCTCACTTTTCAGTTAAGAGGAACTTGACTCCCTTAAGACTAAAAATTAAGGATGCCCTTCTCCATCATTAAAAAAGATTAAAGAAAAAAATCATTACTTCTTAATGATCCATAAATGGCTCCTAGATCTTCCTTTTATTCTACTGTATTTAAAAACTCTTCTTCTTGAAGTTTCAATTTAAAGTCCTCTCTGATTCTCTGTAGCAACTCTGGTTTAAAAATAACATCCAATGCAGTCATTGCCAGAGCTTTGGCGGTACGTAAAGTGTAGAACTGAGCTTCCTGTGATCCTAAAAGGTGGAGAAAATAAATGAAGAAACCTCCATATTTATTATAAATTACTGTACTGTTTTCAGGTTAGCACTCGATACTAACCTGCCTCTCCAAATGCCCACCACAATACAGTATTTTCTGAGGTCATGTTAGATAATGAAATAACAATAGGCTAAACTACATGGGCAGCTATTACCACAAAAAGAGAGCATATGCCAACACGTTCACTTCTAAGAACACTTACCTGCAGCTTCCGTATATTGTTCTGTATGATTCAAGGCATCAGATCCAATGTAAAAATATGGATGAATCCCAGGAACCACAAAAGTAACATTTCCAAAATCAGTAGATCCTTGGAAAGGCACAACAATCCATGAATTTCTAATTGCTAGTCCAATGAACACCAGACCATACTTATCCAATCTCTATAGCACCTGACATGATTTACCACTCCTTTCCTTCTAGAAATTCTCTACTCCTTTGGCTTCCATGACTTGACTCCTGATTGTCTGGCTTTCTGTCTCCTCTAAATGGCTTCCTTTGCCCGTCTCCTAAGTGCTGGTAATCCCTAGGGAGTCATCTTTGGGCTTCTTCTCTGTGTACTTGAGCGACCTCAAAAACTCCTGTGTTTTCAATCACCTTTCAGATATTGACATCTTCTATATCTCCAACCTAGACATCTTTGGGGGGTTCTGGATTCAATAGGCTACTGAATAGCTCCCCTTAAAAGTCCTATAAGCACCTTAAACTTAACATACTAATAATATATACCAACATACCATACCCCAACCTGCTTTCTCCTGAACTCCTTATCTCAATAAATGACATTAACATCCCATTTCTATGGCCAAGTCCTTTTGAGTCCACCTTGTCAACATCTATTATTATATTTTAGGAGAACACTCTAACATGCAAACATATTAGTAATGATGCTTTTAAAAGGAACAAACTCTAAAATAACCCTCAATACACTTATAACTATTTAAATTCTAATAGTTGCTTATTAAACAACTACTAGTAAACAACCATAATAGTCACACCTCAAAAACTGGAATGCCCCCTTATAACTTGCTAGCCTGTCTACTGATGACTGAGAAGGAATTAAAATTCTAGTTCTCCTTTAAGTAGCTTACTTAAAAATTAGAACTAAGCAAATTTAAACACTAGAAATATTTAGAATACAAAGGAAAAAGTATGCTGGCTATTTCTAAAAACAAATCTGCTCACTTAACAGTTTACATTCACTGAAGAGTTCATTAGTTTCTTTCCCCTAACCATTAAGTCTGTGAAAAATATTATCAAAAACAAGAGCAATACCCCCACCTCCAAAGCTGCTAAACAAAACCATTTAACCAAAGATGATATTTTCCTTCCCCAAACAGCACAATATAGTATATATGAAGGAACCTAATTACCTGAAGAGCCATTCAACATTGCATCTTCTGAAATAAATTCTATTCCGAGTTTTTTTCCATTTTCAATATAAGCTTTCCAGAGGCTCTTATTGGGAAGAACATTGTAATAATCATGTGCTCCACCTTTAATTTCTACCTAATAAGAAATTATAAAACAAATTTTGAAATAAAAAACTCATTCACTATCTAATTTTTAAAACAGCAAGAGGTTTAAGGGCACACTTTCCCTTCCAGATATAAACTCTCTCAAATATTTTACCTTTAAAAAATATGTATTTTTTATAATGAAACTTCCCTAGGATCCTATCTCCTAATGTGATATATGTACCAAACCACACAATGTCACCTTGCTCTACTGGCCAGTGAGTCTCAACTTTAGTAACTTCAATAGGGTACAGGGGGAGCCCAGGAATCTCCATTTAAACCAGCACCCCCAAGTAATTCTGACGCAGGTGGTCCAAAAACCAGACACTGAGGAACACTGCCCTAGGCTGTAGCCTCTAAAAGAAAAAATTAAGCTTTACTCATACCCAAAATATAAGCCAACACTGACACCACCACCTGGTCGGAAAGGTTTAAAGGTACCCTGAGAGAAAGATAGAAGGTTCACAATGAAGAAGGGTTGACTACGGTCCTCACTTATTATTTATTTATTTATATTTTAAAAGTAATCTCTACATCCAACGTGGGGCTCAAACTCACAACCCTGAGATCAAGAGTTGCATGCTCTACTGACTGAGCCAGCCAGGCGCCCCTGGGTCCTCACTTATTAATTTCAGTATTTCAGTGTATGAAGACTTACAAGCAGTTTATAGGTGGCCAGTTAAGAGGATTTACAGATTTCATTATGATTAAATCCAAATGGGTAACAGTTCCTCAAACTAAAGGTAATGCCAATAACACTAGTAAAAGCCAGTTAGAAAATGGCAGCGTGGACATTTCTTCTATTCTTAGCAACAGCTAAGTTAGAAATAATGACCACCTGGTCATATATTACAAATCAGCCAATATATAAAAAAATATTATAAAATATAAATAATTATATTTAATATAATTTAAATATTAATTTATTATAATATATTAAATATAATTTATTATTTTATAATACATTGATTTAAATATTTAAAATATAAGTTTTATATTATTACATAGAATTAAAAATAATTTTTTCCTCTCTGGACATTTATACTGCCTGAGAATCACTGCTACTGTGAGACACCATTCACTCTCTGCATAAGTCCTACATCTCCAGTCTAATGGGAGCAGAAACAAGTAAGGGAGTAAGGATGAGAGCAAGGCCCTAACTCTTAACAAATACCTCATTTAATTCTCACAAGAACCCAAAGATAGATTATCTCCATTTTTCAAGAGAAAATGGAGGCCTAAACATCTAAGTTTAGGTAAATGTTTTTTAGTAATAATGTTTCCAAAAGTTACAAAATCAGTACTAATCCAGATCTTGACTCTCCAACTGGACTACGAGCTCCTCCCAGGGCAAGAATATGTAATTCTGAAGCTTCTCATTCTACTGTATGCCCTATATGATTGCTACATAGATGTCACTGATTTTATAGTTCAAATGAACAAACTTTCCAGCAAGCCATAAGTATTTATATCATTACTGCACGTACCTATAACTTCACCAAAAATAGCTTTTGTTGATTTTGCCATAAAGTTCCCTTTATCAGAACTATACTGAGTAATTCTGAAAATATAACTGCCAATAAGGAAGGTCATAACTTGCAAAAAAGCAGGGATTCTAGTTCAGTCCTATGAAGAGTTATTCCAAGAACAGTGTAGTAAGAGGACTGTAGTCCTTCCTATGTGGGCACTGAGTAAGAATTAAAGACCTTCGCATCACCTATTCAGTCGATTGATTTTACATATTCAAAACACTGCCAAATGATAAAGGGGCAAGGTAGGTTCTAATCTAACTTTAAAAAAAAGATTTATTTATTCATTTTAGAGAGAGAGAGCTCATGTGTGGGTGCACCTACTGGGTGGGAGAGGGGCAGAGAGAATCTCAAGCAGATGCTGTGCTGAATGCAGAGCCCCATGGAGCTCAACCTTACTCACGACCCTGAGATTATGAACTGAGCTGAAATCAAGAGTCTGCCGCTTAACCAACTGAGCCACCCAGGAGCCCCAGGTTCTAATCTAACTTGATAATATTCTAACTAAACAACCGAGCCCACATATATACTTCTGATTATAACTTAGATTAACTCTTAAAAGTTCTTACTGTACACCCAGTAGCCAAAGCTGCAGCTCTGAAGCAATCTTCTGCCTTTTTGGTCAAAACTGGAAGTTCTTTCATTGAGGGTGCACGGAAGTAATAGATTAATTCAGAATAAGAGGGAATGATATTGGGTTTTACACCACCACTTTTTATTATGCCTATAAAAAGAACCAAATTACTGAAATTGAGCTTGGAGACCATTTCTTTAGGTTAAAATACACCTATAAAGTTTTCAGCCGGTATATACACGAAGAAAAACAATTTAAATTTACTAGCTTCACAGATATACCAATCAAAGATTTTGATGTGTTGTACAAAAGTTTCTACACATAGGGTAATACTTTCTAGCTAACAGGAAAAAAATTGTCTATATATGTACTTTATTCTAAGGAATTTATATAATGTTCAGAAATTATGTTGCATGACTATAAAGAAACTGTTAAAAACTTTTATAATTATCCAGCCTTCTGAAAGAGACGTTTATTTCAGTAGGCTTCACTACAGTTGTACACTCTGAAAAACTTTTGACCTAAGTGGGAAAAAATGGCGTAAGGTTCTGTAATTACCCTCATACTTCTGGAATCCAATGAATATCTTAAATGGCATTTAAATTATGGGAACATAATTTTTATACCAGCAAGAAACCAATGCAGGTCAAAGATCACTAAGCACTATTAACTGTCAAAACAAATGTGTTTATTTGGAACTACACTGAGAAGGAAGATTTAGCCATTCAAAGTAATAACTAAAATAGATATACAAAATCTAAATTTATATGACTTGCTTTCAGAAATATTATTTCTACATATTTCTCTTTAAAAAAAACTAAGAAAATTGGTAAACGTGTCATTATAAACTAATTTCAGCTTGTAACAAAATCAGGTAAAGAACAGATATTAAAGTATAACAATATGCCATATCATGGGAAAATAAACTAAAAAATAAATTCGTACCTTTAAGATACTGTCGTTACACTAAGGTAACACACATAATTTATCATTACATTAAGGTGATACTGTCATTACATTAAGGTGATATGCATAACTTAAAAAGATGTTACTCGGGATTAACAGCCCTTGAAAAAATAAAACCAGTAACCCTGTTTTTAAATTGAGGAAATGATTTGCTACCATTAAAAGACAGTGAGGATAACTGGAAAATGAAGATTCAACTTTCAAATACCCACAGAAACATGTATGTCCTTACATAAAACCATTATTTCTAATACTCAAAATGACCATTCCATTTACGCATAAATTCTCTTAACTGTCTTCTTACCCAACATATACAAACATCCTAGTATTCTGTCACATGAATTTCTGAAAATGTTTAAAAAGTTTGGAATATTCACATGAAGTACATAAAATGTTTCCAATTTTTAAAACTCAAACACTATCTTGCACTGAAATATATTAAGCACCGTCTATTACACAAAATATCTGACATTCGTACCATGAACTCTCCAGGTTGGTTTCATTTGCTGTCTCAACATGGACAGATTGTTGTAAGCCAGGACAGCAGCATCTAATGCATTTACTCCTTCCCAGGGATATGCAGCAGCATGAGATGCTTTTCCGTAGTATTTCACAGTCACGCTAGGAAATCAAACATCATTTGGAATTACTCTTTTCAAAATCACTAACGAAAATCCAGGTACTGTAATTAGAATTACCGAACAAGTATTCAGAATTAATTCAGACTGCTGGAATTTTTATTCGCAAATCATTTGTAGAAATAACGTAACGATTTATGTACCTTAGTTATAGTTTACTGTTATGTAACACAGTGACTGACACAAAGAAGGCATTCCCCAAAAGAGAGAGAAAAAGACAACTTTGCTCAATCGACCTCCTGTATGAATTAAATCTGTATACAACTCAAGTCAAACAAACATGCAGTTCTGCGTTAGGTGCTGGAATTACAGAACAGTTGGCTCCTCTCTCCTTCTACTCTGCATTGTGATAACTTCGTATCAAAGGTCTGCAAAACTCAGATGATTCTGTCTTAAGGGTGGGAGAAGGTAAAGGAAAACCAAAATAGGTGACAATTTGAAATGAGTTAAAACAACCTCTGAATAGCAGGTTATACTCACAATTTTATAAGATACTCTAGCATTGTCAGTTGTTCCTAATATTTTATTAGTGTCCCAAAACACCTGTGTCACTAGTATCTCAAAATTTTATCAATTATTGTTGTTCTACATCCAAACAGTTCTCATATGAATCTAACTACTCAGATACAATAAAAAAATAAGTTTAAGGAAAGGATTGCATATGAAATAGTTTATTTATAAACACGACTTGCTTAGACAACACTTTTTAAGCCTAACTAATAGTATCCACATTTAAATTATTAAAAAGCTACTCTAGACTTATTTTTTTTTAATGGACTAGATTCAACAGTCCTTGGTATGCTCATATTTCTTGACAAATTCAAAACACTCTGTTAGCAAAAGACAAACAAGTAAAAGCATCCAAACACATTTTTTTTAAGATTTTGTTGGATACTTGTTATTTCCTTGATATATATCTTATCACCGTTATATTGAAACTGGAATTTTAACAAAACTGGTGATAAATATAAAATGGAAAAGAATAGTCTTTATGAAAATGGCTCTAGCACCATTTCTCCCAGGGCTCAAATCTATGTATAATTAAAGCAAAATAAACTACAGGAAAAGAAATGTTAATAGTCATTTTATACCAACATTAGTATTTTAGCATATTTTAAAACGTATTTTAAAAAACATATTTTACGATGAGCACCGGGTGTTATATGCAACTAATGAATCATTGAACACTACATCAAAAACTAATGATGTACTGTATGTTGGCTAACTGAATTTAAATAAAAATATAAAAAATAAAAATTAAAAAAACAAAAACAAAACATATTTTAAATAAACTGACATGGAGTAATTTTTAAGACATATTCTTTCATCTTCAAAAGCAAAAGCCAGACCAACAATATATTTAGCAGAATATTTAAGGGGGAAACCTTTAAAAGTCAATTTATGAGGCACCTGGGTAGCGGCTCAGTGGGTTAAGCATCCTTTGGCTCAGGTCTCTCAAGATCCTGGCACAGGGTGGAGTCAGGCTCAGCAGGGAGTCTGCTTGTCTTTCTGCCCCTCCCCCACTCAGGTGTGGGCACTCTCTCTCTCAAAATCTTTTTAAAAAAATAAAATAAGGGGTGCCTGGGTGGCTCAGTCGTTAAGCGTCTGCCTTCGGCTCAGGTCAGGATCCCAGGGTCCTAGGATCGAGCCCCGCATCGGGCTCCTTGCTCAGCGGGAAGCCTGCTTCTCCCTCTCCCACTCTCTCCGCTTGTGTTCCCTCTCTGCTGTCTCTGTCAAATAAATAAAATCTTAAAAAAATAAAATTTATATGTGTATCTATTTATGTTTATAAATATACTCAAAAAGTCTTAGAAGGATATTTGCCTCTGGAGAAGGGACAGGATGTGGGAAAGGTGGTCAATACGGACATAGCGCTTTATCTTACTTATTGTTAGAGATTTTTAGGATGAACAGATTAGTAACTTTTTTAAAAATTTTAGTTCTTGTTCTCTTTTCTGTCTTAAAAGATGGCCAATGAAAAACAAGAAGCCAGACACTAAGAAAAGGCCGGAGGCCAACTGGACTGCTATCAGGATCAGGACCCAGAAGCCGAACTCGTAAGTCCTAGAAGGCTAATGGGCTGGGAAGCCTACCTGCAGTTGCAGGCCCCTTCCAGCCAGAGGCTTTGGCAGAGATTTCTAACCTCTAAGGTTCTCCAGACATGTACTAGTATACACTACACCCCTAAACCCAAAGTGGGAAGATTCTTCCTACTGCACAGCACTAACTCCTGGGGATAAGAAAGAAGATACCAGAACAGTTAAAATGGTCATCCTCTGAAAACAAGGCCTCATGGGATGCTGAGATGTAAGATAATGGAGTACAATCTAGAAGCTCCACTGGAATGGTTCTGCTATTAATCCCTAGCTCCACAGAGGAGAATATGTGGTTTTCCGGAAGCAGCTGAGCAGTGGCTCCTTGAGCCAGGCCTACGAACTGGACCAGTAACTACTATGACTGAAAGTTCTGGTGTACAAAATTCAAACCACTTCAATGATCCATGCTCCTAAGTATCAAAGAAGTGAGCTCTTCAATGTAGAGAAAAAGAAGTAAAACGTCAGCATAAAACAAATCAGAGAAGTATATACTGACAAATTCCACTAAAATCCACAGCTAGTTAGTTTCTGTATCCTCTCTCAGAAATATAATTTACCGTCTTTGCAAAGAACTCAAATTACAATCAAGTAGAGAAGTGTGTTTTCTTCCCAAGTCTAATAAAGCTGCCTCTTACAAATCTATTCAGTTGCAAGGACAACCCCATATTAAAGGATAGATATTTTCCAGGGTGCCTGGGTGGCTCAGTCGTTAAGCGTCTGCCTTCGGCTCAGGTCATGATCCCAGGGTCCTGGGATCAAGCCCCACATCGGGCTCCCTCCTCGGCGGGAAGTCTGCTTTCCCTCTCCCACTCCCCCTGCTTGTGTTCCTGCTCTCGTTGTGTCTCTGTCAAATAAATAAAATCTTTAAAAAAAAAAAAGATATTTTCCAGAAAACAGCTTGCTCAATTTAGAGTAGAGTATGTGGGGGTGCCTGGGTGGCTCAGATGGTTAAGCATCTGCCTTTGGCTCAGGTCATGATCTCCGATCTCCAGGTCCTGGGATGGAGCCCCGCATCAGCTCCCTGCTCAGTGGAGAGTCTGCTTCTCTCTCTCTCTCTCTCTCTCCCTCTGTCCCTCCCCACCGCTCATTCTCTCTCTCTCAAATAAATAAATAAAATCCTTAAAAAAAAAAAAAAAGTAGAATATGTGTTAGGACACCTGGGTGGCTTGGTCTGTTAAGTGTCAGACTCTTAGCGGCGCCTGGGTGGCTCAGTTGGTTAAGCAACTGCCTTCGGCTCAGATCATGATCCTGGAGTCCCGGGATGGAGTCCCACATCGGGCTTCCTGCTCAGCAGGGAGTCTGCTTCTCCCTCTGACCCTCTTCCCTCTCATGCTTTCTATCTCTCATTCTGTCTCTGAAATAAATAAATAAAATCTTTAAAAAAAAAAAAAAAGTGTCAGACTCTTGGTTTTGGCTCCAGTCTGATCTCACGGTTGCAGGACTGAGCCCCACCGCAGGCTTTCTGCTCAGTGTGGAGTCCGCTTCAGATTCTTTCTCCCTCTCCCTCTGCCCCTTTCTGCTTGTGCTCTCTCTCTCTCTCTCATAAATAAATAAATAAATAAATAAATAAATAAATAATCTTTTTTAAAAAGTAGAATATGTGTCAACATTTCTGTTTGCTATTCTAAAGGCACTGTTTTAATAGTCTAATTATGAAGACTATATTAAATCTCAACTAGAAGAGGCTTACCAAATGTTATTCAAAGGAAATCAAGTAAGGCATCACATCATCATTTTTCAATTTATTTTTTAAATGTATAAATATGGAGTTTTAGTCTCCAGTTAGAACATGTAAGTATTTTAATAGTCTGTTTTCCACAAAGGGCCTTATTTCAACTTGATTACTCACTCATGTTCAGCCACATCAGGTAGATAAGCAGCATTCTCTTGGGATGGGTGGGCCATAAAAACAACATCAAGATTTTTAAAAGCCCCTGCTTCAATTAAATCAATTTTGCCACCACCATCTTCTTCTGCAGGGGTTCCCAGGACAATTACCTAGAAGGAGATACCTGTGTCAGAGCAAAACAACAACAAAAAATCCTCGGAGGAAAATATCAAACAGGTTCCCTTGCATATGTATTCACAATCTACATTAAAGTCCTTAAACTATGTGGAGAGAGGTTTTGTTCTCTGACACTTCAATAATGCAGGGGGCATAAACCTATGGTGCTAAATTAACCACAAATTTTAATTACATTATTATACCAATTCGGTGACACATATGCACTAAAGCTACAACAGGAAACTTCATTTTGTAACTCAATTTTATATAATTAATGGCAGAGATGAAAAAAAGATAAATTCTATCTACTGAGCTCCTCCAATTCCTTAGGACTTGTTTCTTAAAGCTTCTTCTTGACTAAGGCTTTTAGTAATGTATATAACTACTCATAAGCACTTTACTGGTCAAGAACTTTCCAGTTACGTACTAGTTATCCCCACAACAACCCTGTGAGGTAGGTGAGCCATGTGTGTCATCATTTCAGGGATGGTGGTTTGGAGGCAAGGAGTGAAGTCACAGGACACAGAGCAAGTCTCTAGGCAGAGCAGGATCAAATGTCCTGATCCTCAGGCCTGAACTCTGGTTCCTTACTGAGATACCTCATTAGAAGGTCTTAACTCATTAAACTTTTAGGAAGAGCATTAAATAAACCTTAACGCCACAGTTAGAAACAGCCAACTATTACACAAACTTACTAATTCGATTCCATCAGTTCAACCAGGCAGACTTACTGGTCACCAAACACCTAATTAAACAAGAGAGAACTTTACAGAATATACATTTTACTTTGATATTTAAGCTTAACTTCTTCAAACAATTTTTAAAAACAAAGAAAAATGATCTATAAACAACCAATACACTTTCAAGATCATGTATAGGAATACAATGAAACAGGTTGGGAAAAGGCTTGGCTCGTTAAGGGAATCAACATAAATTCCATTTTCAGAGAGGAAAGATAACCTTGCTAAAACTATGCAGTACCCTTCAAAAGTGTACATTTCCCGAAGTGGAACCTTCTTTGGAAGTCTAGAAACCACTCAAACTCTTAAATTAACCTACTTTTTACTGGGAGCCCTTGCCTCCTTAAATCTGATGACTTCTCAAGTTAAATTTTGCTGACTTCCCTGAATCTTTCATAAACTTGGCTAAAGTTAAATATCTCCAGTGTTTCGTGCAATGGCAAAGGACACCACCCCCCAACAAAACAAAAACCTACCCAGATGCAAAATCAAGCCCCCAGAGCAGAAAAGAGAAGGCAGCTAAAAGAGACTAAGCCACAAAAGATGTAACTGTTAAAAGAAAAGTTACTGACATTGGGAAAAAATGGGCTACAGAACATGAAAAGAAAACCTCGGTCTTGCCCTTAAGCCGAATGGAGACGAATGTATCTTAGTTCACAGAACGAAGGATATACCATCTGAAAAAACACAGCAACACGAGATTAACTTGCCCTATAACAAACATAAACGGCATTTCCCCCACTTAAAGAAGGAGAAATTTCTTAAAATCATGAAATATTAAAATTTAAGGATGAACTCACCTATGCAGTAAATGTTCATTCACTTCCCCACTTTTTGTGGGGAGGTTTGGTAGTTCTAATGACTGAAAATTTCCTATCCAAATACCAATGATTCGAATCACAACAGCTCCTATGACTGCCACAAACAAAAGAGGTTTTGGAGCCTAGTAACGAAAGACTATAGGTTTCCCTACAATAACTACTTCTTCCAGAGATTGCACAACCTTGTCAGCAAATTGCGGTTACCTCTGTTACCAAAAATAAATCACAGCGAAAACCAGGCTCGGTTCTAAGTTCTTTGCTTAGGGAGAGTCTACTCAATCGTTTACAACTACGTAAGAGAAAACAAAAAATCTGAAAAATGTCGCTGGGCCGGCAACTCGTGAACTACAGACTTTTATCCAGGGGTTCTGCCTTCTGGCAAAAGCGAGGCCGGGACCCCGAGGGGGCGGACGCGCACGGGAAGCGTCGGGTCCTGCGATCCCCGGGTGCGGCCCGGCCTGGGCAGGCGATGGAAGTCCCGAGCCAGGGCCCCACCTCACCTTCACCGGCGGAGGCGGCCCGGGGAGGCTCTCCAGGGCCCCCTTCACGCCCAGCGCGGCCGCCGCCCCGACCTCGGCGATCAGGTTGTGGCCGCAGGCGTGCCCGATGCCCGGCAGCGCGTCGTACTCGCAGAGGAAGCCCAGCTGCAGGGGGCGCGGCGCCGCGCCGACCCCCGGCGGCCCCCACTCGGCGCGAAAGGCCGTGTCCAGGTGATAGTGCGGCTGCACCGACCACGAGGCGGCCGGAGGCTCGCACTCGAAGAAGCGTGTCAGCACGCCGTGGGCCCGGTGCTCCTCGTAGGCCAGCTCGGGCTCGCTCCAGATCGCGCGGCTCAGGGCCCCCAGGCGCTCGGCCGCCTTGTCAATGCGCTCCGCGGCGCGCAGCTTCCGCAGCTCCAGCTCGGAGACGCCGGCACAGGCGCCCCCCTCCACGGGCCGCTCCTCTCCGGGTCTCATCGTGCCCACAGCCGGTGACCTGCCAGCACCCCGCTAGACTGCCCGCTCGGCTGCTCCCTCCTAGCTGCCCACCGCTTCCGTGCACGCTCCGGCGTTCGCGAGCACCCGCCCGGCGCCCAGAGGTTGGCTCCGCGGCTCCCGGGAGCACCGCCCCGAGCCCCGGGGCCCCGCCTCCAGCTCCTCGCCCGGTACAGGGTTCGCCCCTTCTGCTCCCGGCTAGTGCTCCGGTCCGCGGGAGGAGGGGGGGGTGGGGGAGGGGAAGCTGGCAAGCGCCCCCAGGGGAGAGCGCTGGGAAGTAGAGGTGTTGAGGGACTCGTCTCTCTTCCGTCTCCTTGGCTGTGCTTACTACAACTGAATTATGCTTTAAAGTCATTATTACTTTTCTGCTGTTGCTTATTTCCCACAGCAGCAGAATGAGGACGGTTTTATTGGTTAATTGGCATCAGACACAGACCAAGTGGAACATAGGCCTTGAAAAACGCCATTCTCCTTTCTAGAATAGTAATAAAAAAATTATACAAGGTTTTTAGTTCATAAAACTAGATGTCAGTATAAAAATGCTATACAGAGAACAGTGGTCTATAGACTCCATATTCTTTTTTTAAATTTTATTACGTTATGTTAATCACCATACATCATTAGTTTTTGATGTAGTGTTCCATGATTCATTGTTTGCGTATAACACCCAGTGCTCCATGCAGAACGTGCCCTCTTTAATACCCATCACCAGGCTAACCCATCCTCCCAACCCCCTCCCCTCTAGAACCCTCAGTTTGTTTCTGAGTCCATAGTCTCTCATGGTTCGTCTCCCCCTCCGATTTCCCCCTCTTCATTTTTCCCTTCCTGCTATCTTCTTTTTTTTTTTAAACATATAATGTATTATTTGTTTCAGTACTGCCCTCACTGTCTTCTCCTTGAGGTTGCTGTATAATCTAAAAGCTGCAACTACTCTATATTTCTCTTTAGAGTGACACTAATGTCTAGAACAGCACCTGGAATATAGTAAGAACTGGATATATATTAGCTATTAGCTATTATAGTCTATTTGAGTAGAGTAGAACTAAGAATTTAAAATGAGGGTTTTTTGGGGGGGCCCCTGGGTGGCTCAGATTGTTAAGTGTCTGCCTTCGGTTCAGGTCATGGTCCCAGGGTCCTGGGATCGAGCCCCACATCGGGCTCCCTGCTCTGCGGGAAGCCTGCCTCTCTCTCTCCCACTCCCCCTGCTTGGGTTCCCTCTCTCGCTGTGTCTCTCTCTGTCAAATAAATAAATTAAATAAATAAATAAAATGAGGGGTCTTTTTTGAAGCCTAAACTAAAGAGTAATAAAAAGATTTATGGTTGTGAATATTCATACCATTTTGTTGACTTGGGGTGTTTGATTTGAATAGTAACAGCTATGAAAGAGAACATATGACCAGTTTCATTTGTAACTAATTGATGCTGAACTCAAGTAACATGATGTGTGCAGCTGCTGTGCACAATATAACTGGGTTTTAAATTACCCAGTGAAGAAATTCAAGATGCCATACTCTTGTTTTCCTCCAGAATGAAGCACAAAGTCTGAAGAAAAAAAAAAAAACTTTTGTTGATGATATTCTAAGGTGTTTCACATAGTGAAAGCTTCCCTCAGCTCAGCTTCCTTCCCTTAATTTGTCACAGTTAGGTTAAATGGGACATAATATATTCAAATAATTAGAGAAATTATTTTTAAAAATTTAATCTATTCATTTTAGAGAAATGTACTTTTCGAAAATAAGTCTAAGGGAAGCTGCATATATGAAGACTCTCTACTACTGTTGTAACTATTTCATATGCCAACAATACCAGAGTAAATGTCATATTTGAACTCGGAAAATACTGTCATTCTCCTTAACACCCTAACTAAATCTCAACCCTGAAGGTAACAAATGTGGTATTAAATTCCTGGACCCTCTTATCTATACTTAGCAAATCAGACCCTGGTATACTTCTGACAAAAATCCCACCTTTATCTATGAAATACAATATTATTGCTTTATGTGAGCAAAACCAATAGGGGACATTTGTAGAACACTTATCCCGTGGTATGCACTTAACATGTGCTGAGTGCTTTCCATGTATTAACTTTTTTTTTTAAGATTTTATTTATTTATTCATGAGAGACAGAGAGAAAAGCAGAGGGAGAAGCAGGCTCCCCACTGAGCAGGGAGCCCGATGCGGGACTCAATCCCAGGACCCTGGGATCATGACCTGAGCCGATGGCAGACGCTTAATCATCTGAGCCACCCAGGCACCGGATGTGTTAACTTATTTAATCCTCATGACAACCTACGAGGTTGCTAATGTCATTATTTATCTTTATAGATGCAGTGTCCAAGATGACTGCATCTATAAAGCTAGTAAATAGTGGACCCAGGATGGGACAGAAGCCAGTCTGGCTCCCAGTGATCTGCTTTCAGCCACCATGCTTTATTGTTTATGTAAGCAGACATCCAAATTCATAAATACATCTGTAGCTTGTCTATTTACATCAGAACCCATTAAAAATCACTTATTTTGAATAAATACGCTGTAGCAACTCTGCCTGTTGACATAAGTAGAACCCATGTTTGCCCGTTCTTACCAGACAGCTATAAACAGCAATAGAAGAGGCATACATATAAATTCTAAATAGAAGCTATTTATATGGCTTGTCATGAATTAACAAAGCTGTCACTTGAGGCAGAGGAAAGATAGATTCATTTCCAGTTCTGTTCTGTTTGTGTGCACACACATGCTATATATGTTGGATTTCCTTTGTGGGCACCCTATATTTCTTGCTCATGGTGCTTTGTACCCTTTTGTTGAATAAATGATGATAATTTATTGGATGTGTATCTTCCCCAGTAGTGCTGGAGGGAAAAGGAATAGAAGGTGCTAAAATGATTTCATCCATAGAGAGAGTGCAGATATTTTACCAGAAAATAAATAAAACTTAGAGTAAAAACTTAAAAAATATTTTTAAAAAAGGAATTAGTTCCAAAAGTGCATAGGATTCTTGCCGACTATCTTTTCATTTTAACAATATTTGGAATCTGAACATTCTTCTCCGGAACCAAACTGTGGCCCTGGGTGATTTGGGGCTACCACTAGCAGCATGCCGAGTAAGCAAACTACAGTGCTGCTCTAGGATGTTCGTTGTTCACAACATTGCCCTAACCCCCTCTCCATGCTCCCCCACCCAAATACTTATAATCATCTCCAGAGGACTCTCTAGTTGATATAAACATGCAACTCGAACTACACAGCATATTAAGAAATCACTTCTGGGCTAAGATGTTGGAAAAACTGGCTGTCATTTTGGCAGAAAGCAGTGAGCTAAGAATTCCACAGAAAGGTGAATTTTGATTGAAGGTGAAGGAACCCAGAGGAATCGTGTACACGTTGTTAAAGAAATAAACCTTTATCCAGACAATGGGTAACTACTGGATGTTATGAAGCAGGGGGGAGTTAAAACCGGATTTTTGTTCTGGAAGAATAATTGATGACCACATGGAAGGTAAATTGGAAACTGACTTTGGTCTGAGACAAGCTAACCAGTTCCTGCGAAGTCCCAGGATTCCAGAAACATTCCACAGGCAGCAGTGACAGTACTTGGGGCCTGATTGAATGTGTTTGGGGGAAGGGGGGCATGATAGAGAGAAGGAAGAGAGATGACTGAGGTCTGTAGTGTGAACAGTCATTAAACAAAATAGGGGCAATGTGAGCATGAGGGGCGAGCTGATGGATGTGGGTTAGACAAGTCAAGAGGAGGTGGAAGCCCCCACTCAAGGGATCAGCAATAGCACTAAGGAAAGTGCATTTCTGCCTATCTACTATGTGTAATAGTTATATCCAGAGGAGAATTAAACTATCCAGGGAGTGAGTGACTAAGGAGGGAAAAAATGAAGCTGAGGAAGAAACTCTGGAAAACAAAAACAAAGGGAAGGAGCAAAAATGTCTGGCAGAATCTTGCTTCTGTTGGGTAAGGCTCTATTACAACTTGTTTTTAAGTTCTGTATAGATTTCTTCAAATGGCCCATGAGGTGAGGCAGCTATTTCAGAGCCCAGAATGTCCTGGTACACAGTTATTTGAGGCTCCCTTTGGCTTCCATCTCTCCTGGCAGTGAAATTAGCTGCTCTGCTGACCATGACTGCTCCTGGGAATGAGAACCGTGAGGTTCTCGGAGGAGGCTTCTCCTTCGCCCCGATTCCCTAGGCCTTATGTACGCCAACACTGGGAGACGTGGCCTGGCTTGTGCTGGATAAGAAGACTTCTTTCCTAAGGTTATGGTGCAGAAAAAGGGAGAGAATTTTTTTTTAAAGATTTTATTTATTTATTTGAGAGAGAGAGAGCATAAGAGGGGGGAGGCTCAGAGGGAGAAGCAGACTCCCTAGTGATGCAGGACTCGATCCTGGGACTCCGGGATCATGACCTGAGCCAACAGCGGTTGCTTAACCAACTGAGCCATCCAGGCGCCCCAAATTTTTATTGCTCCCCTACCCTTATTGGTGAAACATTTAGAGCTTGGACCCAACCCAGTGCTTGAGGGTCCTTCTCGAGATTCCTCTCTCAAGCCATGTGTGTAGCTTGGCCATGTTAATAATTACTTATGTTAAAGGTTCACTTCTCAAACTTCTTGGTCATTTTGGTGTTCATTATTTTAAAGTCGCTAGCAGGAATGGATGGTAAGGTGGTCATAGGGTGCTTAAAATACTCAAGATGTTTTATAAAAAATGGGGTAATGAAGAGTCATTAATAAATAAAAAAATGTGTGGTCTAATATTAATAAATAACATCTAGCAATTAGAGGCATGCTGGTAGATGAAGCAGGAAGCAAACTAAACATTTCCAATAAAACCGATTAAGAAAAAACAATTACAATGTTCCCAAAGGTCTTCCCCTTCTGTTTTGCTGCAAGGTGTGAGACCAAAATAAGGAAGGATGAGACCCTGGTGGAAAACTTTGGCTGACCAGAAAAGATAGGAAAGCCAAGTTAAGTCTTTCTTACTAGTTAATATTTCAAAATATTTACTGTTTGTTAACATGACACAAAATAAGCCTCTGACAATTGGTTAAATTGAAACTAGAGCAAAACTAGAAGATTCAATAGCTGGCCAGAAGT